GGTTCTAGTGGAAAATATACAGGGTACAGGGTACAGCAAGAAAGTAAGAAAAAAACGATAACGCCAATCCATGCCCTCACGATAACAGAGCCAAGCGCAAGACTCGCCAATCGAAACAGAAACCCATCGCCTCAACCAAGTCGTCTCTCGATACGGTTGAATTTGACAGCGTTCTTGATCTATTGTAGGGACCTCGATGTTAGCGGATAGTCCTAACGGCGACAGGCATGCTCCCCTGGAAACAGAGTTGAAGCCCGCAAATACACCCTTCCCATGAAGAAGGTCATTAGTGACAGAAAGGAATTCACCCACCTGGTTTCGAGTGTTTTGTCCCCGAACGGGCAACCCCAGTGCATGGCGACGACCACGGTAGGTACCGGTTTCCTTCAACCGTTTGATGTTCTCGAGGACTTTTCTCCGGAGGTCGTTCTCGATCTTCATGTCGGACAGGGCGGCCGTGATATCAAGGACCTGCTTGTTGCCCAGTTCGCCGACCTTGCATGCCGGGTGGATGTGGAAGCGGGCGAGCAGGCGCGAGGAGGTGTTGTTACCGATGCCGAAGAACGACTCGAGGGATTTCTGGATTGCGGTCAGATGGGAGGAGGGTTAACTCGATTAATGCAGGTTGCTTGCCTTGACGAGGTTCCGCTCCGGGAAGTTGACGCCTAGGATGAAGACCTGATCGAGATTTGTTAGCGGGGGCGGAGCTCAATTAGCCGGCACAGATTCAGTTCGTAGATTTACCATCTCGTCTATTACAAAAGCCTTGAGCTTGAGGAAAAAGAACCGGCGATGAAAGCTCGATATCTCGTTGCTTGCGCTGCCGGGGCTCTCTCAACTGCCCGCCGCGATGATTGAGCGCGGGAGAAAATCCGCCGGTAGCAGAGTTTCTCCGGGCCAAATGACGGTAAGTTTCAAGATGCCGTGACGCTTTGCCGGATGATGTCCATCCCTAATGCTGGGCAGAATGTATGAATACCGGTACTATGCTTATCGGCAAACCGCAAATTACACATTCCTTCCACCACTAGCACTGCGCTTTCGGAACCTTGAATACCATGCATCTTACTGGATCAGGAATGATGGGCTTGGCACCTCCGCAGTAGGGGCCAGTAAGTAATGCAAGCTGGCCTCGATGCGGTCCAATTGCTTCTCTCCTCATTGTCTGCAACTGCCCCCTTCATCTTACCCACCAGTCTTATTGCATTCGAGGTTCGGTGTTTTTGAAGTCATTCTTCAGCAACCATGAACTTCAGAAACCTTTTCCTGTCCTTCTTCTTGGTCCTGGCGGTCGGGTTCGCCCTCGTACACGCCGAAGAGGCTAAGCCTCGGGGCCCGAAGATTACCAGTAAGGTATGAGATGCGAGCTCTGAGCTTGAGCGCTTGTCCTCAAGCATGCTGGATTATCCCGGGCTCTAGGACAATTGGTGCTGATCGATGCTTAATGCAGGTGTACTTCGATATTGAGCATGGCGATAAGCCCTTGGGCAGAGTTGTCCTTGGTCTGTATGGCAAGACTGTTCCCAAGGTATGTGGATATTTACCACGCAGCTCTGTTTGTAGCCGGACTCAATGCTAACTCAAACCCCTATCCTAGACCGCTGAGAACTTCCGGTATGAATTTCTGGGCCTTGGTCCAGCTGGAATTTTGATCACCACTGACATTGCTCACTTCCAGGGCTCTCGCTACTGGTGAGAAGGGTTTCGGTTATGAGGGTTCTACTTTCCATCGTGTCATCAAGGACTTCATGATTCAGGGTGGTGACTTCACTCGTGGTGATGGTCAGTAGTCATTCCCTGTCATTCTTGATTGCGTGCGATGAGTCCAATGCTGATTGTGGACGAAAACAATTAGGTACCGGAGGCAAGTCCATCTATGGCGAGAAGTTCGAGGATGAGAACTTCAAGATTAGGCACACTCGCAAGGGTCTTCTGAGCATGGCCAATGCCGGCAAGGACACCAACGGATCTCAGTTCTTCATCACCACTGTCCCCACTCCGTGAGTTTGCACCCTTCCTCCATAACAGCGTAGCCGCTTGCTGATCCTCCCTGGAACAGTTGGCTCGATGGCCGCCACGTTGTCTTCGGCGAAGTGCTCGAGGGTTACGAATTCGTCGCCCAGATTGAGAATGTGCCCAAGGGCCGCGGCGACAAGCCCGTGGAGACGGTCAAGATCGTGAAGAGCGGCGAGCTGCCGGTGGAGGAGAAGGCCGAAGAGAAAGGTAGCAGCCACGAGGAGTTGTAGACTGGCCCTCCTGCGGTCTGCGCTTGCTTCTAGAAGAGTAAAGTCTGCGATGTGCTGATACCTGCTGTGTAAAGAAGAAATGATCTCGGAGATCCCGTCGCAACCTTCGGCAACTCCTGTGGCTCCTCCGGTTGCCTCCCTCATCACTTCTGACAGCTACCCTTATATTTACCCGAAAATTGCGGCCCTCGCTCTTGTCGTTGGCCTGCTGCTGATCTTGATCAAGCGCAGCACTCCAGGACAGCGCGAGAAGGCTGAGAGAAGTGTTGTTTAAAATCGAAGACGGAAGCTCCGCCATGCAGCAACGGATCCGTACTCCATAGCTTACTATAATTATTCAAGGAACTAGTGCAACCATAACTCGTTCCCTCTGTGTTCGTAAGGTATAGATCCCGCTACCTTGGTAGCTTGTGGCCCCTGACGCATATGCAGCCATTCGGCCGCCCTTACTCACCGGTCTTCTTATACGTAACACGTTTCAGCCCTGCAAGTATAGACTACCATCAAAGTCTTGCCAAGTTATCACGAAGAAGTCGGTCAGAATCTCAAGGGGACCATCCAACTTTAGACAGGCAGTCGGACATATAAGGGAAGCCCTTGCTTTATCTTGACCCGTCCTTGATAGGTTATACCTTTTAATATTGTAGGCGAAACCTCCAAGTACTACAATGCATCCCCATCCTAGCCAGCAGATTTCGCTACTTTTGAAAGCAGCAATGCAGCGATGTGGAAAGGCTCGCTGTCTAATCTCCGTACCACGTCGTGCAGCCCAGGATCATGCCATGAGCCTCCGTCAAGGTATGGTACCAGCTCTGGGAATGATCCAAGCGATAGCCGCGCCTTTTTGCATGCTTCTGCGGCGCAAAATATTTGGTGTTTGTCGCTGTACGGGAAACAAGCGCACACGAGCTGAAGATTCCAAACTGGAGCGGTGACCATGCAACTACAGTTCTCATCCAAGGACTCTGCCACAAGCACATTTGATCCCCAATCTAATTAGTTATTAATAGCATCACCGATGTCATATCTTGCTTTGGACGCCGTACTATGTACTTCGATATTTCCGACCAGGAGCTGTCTGTCTTGTACCCTTATGCACGATGATGGCAGGATTCTAGCAGCCAGCCACTATATAAACTCGCTCTGAGGAGAGTGGATGAGTGATTGGATATGTCCGACGATCTTTTTTTGACTAAGCTGCTAGGTGAGTGTGACGATGTTGCCATCACGTTGTCGAAGGCAAGGGACAAACGGACACAACCACCCTGTGGGGATAACAGAACTTCCAAGATACAATTACATTGTCCATCATATACTGAAGTGATGGTAGGACTGAAGGTGTGAATCATGAGTAGCAAGCCATCTTCGAGTACTTTCTCAGCCGTTCTCGAAGAAATACTTGCACACACGCGTATACTCAGTGTAAGTATAGGTACTGAACACATCTGTCGAGCGATGAAGCGGCAAGGAGGCGACTTGGCTCTGACGACTAAGCAGATACGTCACGGGAGATTATTGCTCGCGGTAATCCTCCGTACCCGTAACGCTGGGAACATCTTTTGGCTTCCCGTCTCTGCCTGAGGCGTCATCATTAAGGCTTCGCCGCCGCCGCCCCAAGATTTTTTTTTCGCCCCCTCCAGATTGGCCCATTCATTAGTAGTCCAGGATGATGTATTGCAAGATATCCTCGGGTGCATTTGACTTACTCGGTAAAATGGACTCAAGGGGAACTCATAGAATACTCAGAAAATCATTGGATTGTTTATGTTCTTACATGTACTACTACTCGTATGTAATTAAGTCAAAATGACATCTGAATGAAAGAGATAGACAAACAGCCAACACCAGCGCAAACTACGAGAACTAACGCTGTGCAGTGTTTGGACTGGGGTCCAGCCCAGAGGCTAACTCATCATCGGCAGCACAGCCAAAACAGTGGAAAACAAGTTGGAACCCTCCCGCCGCCACCGTGTCCGTGTTTGGCTGGCGTCTGGTACGAATTTTTTCTTCTTTTTTTCTTCCTTTTTCCTTTTTTTTTTTTTCTTACATGGCTGTATTGCTGTTCACCTTTCCCCCTTCGCTTGGTTAAAATTTACACGTTAAACCTTTTTCCCCCTTCTGGGTCCAGTCGATTCCCCCAATAAGCAAGCCAACCCGTTCAATGCTAACCGCTGAACAGCCTTGAAGATTCTTACTTGGTAGGCACAGAAAAAGTGACAAGAGAGGAAGAATGGTCGAGGGTGGCTGTTTACCTACACACACACATACACACCTGATAATTGTCCAGTAGTTACATGCAGCAAATGTGAAAAGAAGTAGTAGAGTAGTGAACATCTGATGATTTTTAATCAATGAATTTGTAGTCATCCTTTCTTTGCCTCTTTCCAAATCTCTTCCCACAAAAAAAACTCTCTTCTTCTTCCTTCTTTAACTTCTTCTTCAAACCAAAAAAATACCACCCACATCCCACCCACCCCCCCCCCCCCCCCCCCCCCCCCCCCCCCCCCTCTCTCACTCCCTCCGCTGCTAAAATCCAAATCTGGTTTCAATTTTTTTCCCTCTCCTCTCCTCTCCTCTCTTCCTACTCCTCCCCCCCTCCCAACATATCTCCACACCGTATCCTCACCAACTCTCCTACCACCTCTCTTCCACCTTTTTTTCCTTCTTCTTTTTTTTGCTACACCGTAATAGAGGTTTAGATCTGGGAGATCGCCTTGTTTTGCACTTTATCAAATTCTCCCTCAAGGTCTCTCTTTACTCCTTTCTTTCGTCTTTTGACACTGTGTCACTTGCTGTCTTATTCGGTCTCTTGTGTATTGCCACTCAATAGAGACACGGGATTTTTTTATCTGACGTCCTCATTCCTTTCGTCCTGTTGTTATACAGAAAAGAATAGGAATTCTACATCGGACGCGATTCTGGACAGCAACCTGTAATCGCTGCATCTCTTGATATCTTCGCCAAACACAAAAAGCATTGAGATTTTTCCTCCTGTACGTCTTGCACACCCCGGCCTACGATTGCGCCACAACTGCAAAACAATTCACTTACGAATTTATTTGTCTCATCCAGTCCGTGAAACACCGCAAATATGGCCGACGGTTTGAAGATGGGAAACCTTTCCCTCAACGAGTCTCAGCATGCGCCCGCTGCTCCCGCCAACACGGGTCGCGCTGCCTACATCCCTCCTCACCTTCGTGGACGCCCGATGGGTGCGAACATGGACGGCGCTCCGGCTCCGGCTCCTGCTGCTGCTGCTGCTGCCGCCGCCGCCGCTCCTCCTCCTGGTCCCGCTGCTAACAACTCCTGGGGTAACAGGTATGTGATATTTCCCACCTCCCAAAATTCCACTTGTTCTCGGTGGCACGAAATAGGTTGCCTCCTCAGAACTGTCCACAGCGGCTGACTTGGTATGCTTTGACACGACAGAGGAGGCCCTCGTGGTGGAAACTGGGCTAATGCTAACGCTCCTGACTTCAGCCCTCGCGGTCCTTCCAATGGTAACCCTAACTGGACATCCCAAGACGGTCAACGCCGGCCCTTTAACCCAGATGCTTACGGAAATCCAGGACACGGAGGCTCCTATGGCGGTAGCTCCGGTGG